TAAGTAAGTATATACAACAATTTAGTACTCCCCAGTCACTGAAACCTCATATTTAAACTGAATATCATCAGATAACAGGGCAGGCAGCACTGGTTCCTAATCCACTTAAAAGTATAATGTACTAAATTCAACTTGAATCAGTTAATCTCATGGTGATTATTGTGTTAGTTTGTGTCATTTATTATAACTGATCAAGTATTTTAGTGTCTAAATGATTACTGTACCTTGCAGACCTGGCAGAGAGTGATTTGGCCTACACCAAAGCCATCATGGGCAGCGGAAGAGAGAATTTTGCTGGAAAAGAGGTGCTGATTTTGGGAGGAGGCGACGGAGGCATCCTGTCTGAGATGGTCAAACAAAAGCCAAAGATGATCACCATGTTGGATATATCCTTTACATGTTCTGCTGAACTTTTATTTCTGTATTGTGACTTTGTTTTTTTTTCCAATAAGGCAATGTAGTTTTCTCTCACAACATTTTATTAATACGTATAGTTGCACATCAGCACCTGAATGATGTTTCCTTAACGGCGTGTGCACATTGACCAGAAGGTGATAGACGCGTGCAAAAAGCACATGAGGAAAACTTGCGGCCATGTCCTCGACAACCTGAAGGGAGACTGTTACCAAGTGAGTGCTGAATGAATATTCATATGTTCAATGTAGGCTCAGTAAATAACTGGTATCACGCAGGCGGTTATCAACCCTGTGGGGTTTTTCTGTAAACAAACATTGAGTGAATTTACTTCAACATAAAACATTTTACATGCCTTGCAGCATGTCTTAGCCTGTTGGTACAACTCTGTACTGTGTCACGCATGAATGTGCGTCCTGTCACGTATAAGCAAATTCCCCAAACAAAAGAAACTTGAGTCTAAACTGAGTGGATTTTTTTTGTCTCCTGCATTACAGGTTCTAGTTGAGGACTGTGTCCCTGTGCTGAAGAAGTATGTCTCAGACGGAAAGACGTTTGATTACGTAATCAATGACCTGACTGCAATCCCAATTTCCACAGAGCCAGAAGAAGGTACTATATTTCTTTTAAAATTTTGTATGTTTTTGTTTACCTATTCTCTGTGGTGTTATATAAATGCAATGCTTTTGTCTGAACCTATCCAACTGCCTCTCGTAGATTCAACATGGGAGTTCCTGCGTCTCATCTTGGATCTGTCGATGAAAGTCCTGCATCCCTCGGGGAAATATCTTACACAGGTGAGTTACGTGTAGTAACTGGCGAGTGTTTAGTGCAAACTGCTGATATACTAGAGATGCCCCAGTCAGCTCTTACGTTCACTGAAAATGTTTGCATGTGAGACTAATCTTTAAACCCCCTATAAAACTGCACTTTCAGAGGAACGTGCTTCCTTAATTTGATGAATTGCCTGTCAAAACAGGATATCTGGCCAGGAAATAGAAAACATTAGTACAGTTAAACCAGCTGGATATCAGTCAGGGAGAGAATGGCAGCATCACTTATTTTTCACTATATTGTGGTTGAGCATTGCAACACACCACTTCTGCTTATAACCCAGTAATGGTTGAAAAAAAAAATTGGCAACAGTGTGTGTCTCATGACATTTATTTTCCTGCTTCCATTTACAAGGGTAACGCCGAGAACATGACAGAGGCTCTGTGTCTGTACGAGGAGCAGCTGAGGAAGCTCTCGTGTCCTGTGAAGTTCTCCAAAGAGGTGGTGTGCGTGCCCTCCTACTTGGAGCAGTATCCTTTCATCAGTTCAAAGATCTTTGATGTGTTATGTAGCTTAAATAGGTATTTCTTATCCCATTTATTATTTTGGAGTGCATAAATCCAAAAACAACTTTTAGAAAAATGTATTCTTTTACTGTTTTATTACAATTTGGATCTAATTTTTGTAGTTTTGGTAAGTATAACTGTCCTGTCTGATCCTCTGACAGCACAGTGTTATTATAAATGATAGAGATAATGGACAGAAGTATAATACATTTTTGCATGCTGTCATATGTTGTTGCGTTTCCTTAATTCTATTGAATCAGATGGGTTTTCTACAACATCTGGAAGGTGTAAAGAAGATGCTGTCTGCTTGAATCCCCAGCAGCTGGAATGTGAATGCTCGTCCCATTTCTGCTGTAGCCTTAAAGGTCTGTTCAGACTGAACGTGACAAACATTAGAGGCAATACAAAGTTTGGATAAATGTATTATGTGGGCTTCAAAACTTAAAAAAAATAAAAAATAAAAAAGGGTCTGGAGAAATATAATGAAGAAAAATAATTGGAGTTCCACACACTGGTTGCAGTCTGTACCTATTGTTAATGAGCTCCAGCTGACTGACAACAGCTAACATCTGTTCAGCAATTGGCTGTTATTGGTTAATAAGCATGGATTGCAAAAACACTCCCAACAGTGAAGTTATTGTGAATAAGTCAAGATGAAAATTGAATTTACATTCAGTCTGAGCACATCTGAAGGGGTACAATGGCGGTTTTATTATCCCCGCTCCATTAACCCCATTCGACCCTAATCTTCCTTCTCTTTGTTCCTGTTTTAGTTGTGTTCTACCATTGTTTACTACAACTTATCAGTTGTATTTTGTTCATGTTACTTGATTTGTAATGTCCATTTGCATGTACTCTGAAGGAACCGTCAGCTGTTTAAACAGTGATTTGATACACTGATAATGTGGTGTAACTCATCTTTTCATCAACAGGCGTGTGTTCTCTTGTTTTCCTTAGATTTTCTAAGGTTCTTTACTTTTGAGCGATAAGCTCCTGTCGTGTGATAGGCCAAGATGTAGGGTCAGCCCGGCTGAACTGAGTTGCTTGTAAGCTCTGTATTTGTTACTGCCTTTCAAATGTGATTGATTCTTTCAGGTTGTATCAAGGCAATGTGATCATGCCCAGTGAGACTGAAGTTTTTAAGTCCAAATGTGTTTTAAAAGGGAAACGATTCCACCACTTTAATGCCACCTCTGTGCTTGTGCTGTTTTTATGTCATGTTTTATTAGCACCTTTTGGTTTCTCCAATATATTTAAAGTTTTTTAAGACTGTATTAGGTGCATGTAAAGGACGGTGAATGTAGCTTGCATATACAGTACACAGCACGTTTACACGTGATCAACCCTGTGGGACTCAGTTACATTTATTTATTCTATAATTTCACCAAATGCTGTTCTGTCCCACTTGAGATACTTTCTGTGAACTCTACAATAAAAAAATGTTTTGGGGGGAAAATATCTTGACTTTTGTTTGTTTTTGTTTTTACAAAAGAAATGGTGTTGATGAATAATAAGTGTAGATACAGCGTGAGCCATTGATAAAGGTTTGCACAGTTGTGTTAGTACACTAGCTTGTTGCTCTAATAAGTAAGGCTGAATGTGGGTGTAATGCCTTTGCATTCACACTGAAAAAAGTAATACACAGTCATAATCTAAAAATGTAGATTAAGAGGGGATATGCTGTTCAAATGTACTTTTGCAGCTATGGCAACATTAGTAACTCTAAACTCTATTAGAAATATCAATGTAAGATTTATTCGCGGCACACAGGAGTTTAAAGATGTTGAGCTCTTTGGACTAAATGGTAAATTTACTTGCACCTTTCTAGTCTTCTGACCACTCAAAGCCCTCTTTACACTACGAGTCACATTCACCCATTGGTGGTCGAGGCTACCATACACGGTGCCACCTGCCACACAGCTTTAACACACTCACACACAGCAATGGAACAGCCATCAGGAGCAACATGGGGTTCAGTATCTTGCTCAAGGATACTTCAACATGCAGTCTAGATGAGCCTGGGATCGAACCACTCTACCTCCTGAGCCACAGCCGCCCCGACAACTTAACTGTTTCTTGTCCTTCCTGTTTGAAAGCTACATTAACTAATCTGTTAAGTTGAGAGCTCAACTCTTGAGGCTATGTGCTGCCCTGAAGTAACTTTGAACAGTAAAAAGAGATTAGGTCTGCACCAGGTGTGTGTATCAATAATAAATACATGAGAGTACTTCACTCATCCCCAGAAGGCAGACAGAGGGCTCAAACCCTGCAGCACAGGAGCAGTGTCAACTGATAGTCCTGTCATCCTCGTTCTCTACCTAAAGAATTTGTGGCTGCTGTCTTTTTTTGTTGGGACTGGACTGACTTAGCCTCAATTCGCATCATTTTGCCATATTCTTAGAAGGTAACTGTGAATATATCCTTCCATTGCATCTGTAGTCAAAATGTGGGACATTTGGTACTCACTTTCTGTACCCCTACATTGAACTTTGGGGGTACCCCACCTATAAAGGGGTGTCTCCAGCCTTTCCTTTCCCCTTTTGCTGCTGTACTCCATGTGAGAGGTAAGCGACATTGCTCTCATAGTAATTTCCACTGTTAAGCTCTTTATAAGTTCAGCTTAAACTTCCAACACTCTTGTTCGTCCTTTCCCTGCTCCCAGAGTCTTCCCTTCACACCTGTTCTGTATAGTCTGGTTTTCTCCACCCTAGTGTCCCCACCTTGTTGTAAGCCAATCCCCATTTCCCTCCTTTGCACATGTCCACCTACTCCACCTGTGTCTCATTCTTGTGATTAGTTTTCTGTGTGTTTCCCTTTGTTCCTTGTCAGTTCGTCTGCGTTCGTTTTGTGTTCATCCCTGTGTTCTTGGTGTTGTGTCCTGCCTGGTGTCTTGTGTTCTGTTTGTTTTTAGTTTAGTGTTGGATCTTCTTTCATTTGGACTTTCAGTTACCTGCCTGTTCTGGATATCTTTTATCTGCTTTACTAAAGCTTGCTGTTGGTTAAACCTTAAACCTGCCTGCTGCTCTGCATTTGGGTCTTTCCTGAACTGATTGCTGACATCTTTAGCCTGAAGTGAAACTATTGGATAGATTGCCACTTTACAGAAATGTTTGTCCCCCATAGGATGAACCCTGATGACTTTCGCAGTTCCCCTTACTTTTTAGAGTATCAGAGTCTCCACTTTCCCACCACCTAACACCTGACAGAGTTAGCTCTACAGTTGAGAATAATAACAAAAAACTATGATAAATACAAACATAATTCTTTTTATTTTGCAATTACAAGAAAGTAATTTAAGGTCAAAACTGGTGTCAGTCTGTTGGCTTGTGTTGATATTGACTTGTTGACCATGAGTCAGTGTGTGCAATGCACCACTGGAATTTGACTACTTATACTGATAACATCACAGTACCAGTGAATAAAAGTTTTTTGTTTGTTTTTTGTGCAAATACAATAAGTGTTCAGTATGAGTATATAAAAAGTGTTCAAAAATCAAGTGCCATTTATAATGTAGGATTTCCATATAATACATATTATGTGCAAAGGGATGGTACATAAATTACTATCTATTATTACAGTATGTACAGGTGTTTCAAATTAAGAGCCATTGAACAGTCTGTTGTGTCCTCTCAGGATCAGGAGGCTTGTCGGTCTCTGTACTGTCTGTTGATCTCATTGAGGACCACGTCCATACTGGGGTCTTCATCCGCTGTGATTATTCTGTCTTCAAACGGGCTGCCTGTAACACAGCATTACTGCGTTATTTCCATTTTTGCAAATGCACGCCTAGGCTATATGACAGTGGGCCCCTGGCCACTGTCAGCTCAGAATCTGCCAAGACCAGGGGTGTCAACATATTTAAAGAGCTGCAGCAATAAAATCTGTTTTTAACATAGTTTGTCAGGTTGATTACTACTAAAATTAAAATATCGTGTATGAATTACTGGCACAATCAGTGGCCGAATGTCTTCACTTACCAATGCCATTAATCTGCTCTGAAGAGTCACTGACGAGGAAAGAGGTGGAGCTGGATGAGTTATTGGACTGGGAGGACTTTGAGGAATTAAGAGATCTCAGTTTGGTCATTGATGACTTCTTCACAGTCTTCTGTGTTGCAGTGCGGCTCCATTCTGTTAAAAGAAATCCCACAAGACAAAAATTGTAACATAATCATTGTGTAATAAATTACCAACAGGCAACTGATGCACTTGAATCAGTTACTTTGAAGGACTAGATTAAAAAGACCAAACATGTGAAGGTTTACAGCCAAGTTGGTAGAGTCGTGATCATCTCTAACCTGAGTTCTCTGCTAGTCTCATTTTGCCGCAGCACAGGTACGTTCTCCATTGCCTTCTCACGTTTTCTTTCACCGCACAGTAGAACACAAATATAAAGAAACCTGCAAAACAGAAAGAGCCTTTGTATGTATATCACATGCATACACAGTGTGTCTAAGTTTATGCTGCTAGTGTTTTTAAGTTTTTGGTCTACCTTTCTCCACATTTTGTGTGAAGGATGAGCGCTACTAGACCAAAACTTAATAAAGGATTATTACGATTAATAACTTGGGTGCTATTATTGTAGTTTTAGGCCCTGATCACACAGAAAGTGTTTTGCAGGTTGCAAAATGCGAGGCCCATGGCCCTGAGTAGAGGGTAGGTGCTCTAGCTCTAGCTGAGGGTAAGAGGCTGTCAGTAAAGTTTGTTGGGCACAGGGAAACAGAGGACTTTGTGGGTACATGAGACCCTAAAAAAGAGGGGGGATCACAGGGAGTACTACCAGTTGGTCCAGGAGCTTAGCCTCCATGCTAGCTGTTTCCAGACATATTTTAGGATGACTCGGGGGCAGTTTGACAACCTGCTGTCTATCGTCAGGTTGTATAGCTCTGCAACTGCTACCACCAGTTTGTCCTCCATTGTTTGCCAACTGTAAACTTGTTGTTGTGGCTGCCACAGAAGGCCTGCTTCTCGGTTCATCCAATTGAACAATGGGAAAAAAGCTGACGAAAAAAGAGATGAAGTTTTTCCGCACCGAGATGAAGTTTTTCAGCTCTAAAAGTTCAAAGAAAAACAATTACAAAAAGGAGCTCCAGCTGCTAAAACGCTTTCTGTGTGATCAGGGCCCCAGCCATCATTCTGCCAGATATAAGTTTTGAGGAGATCAAGCGTTTGGTTGTATGTGTGAGTGTGTGTAGTGTGAGTGTGTGTATCTGTCTGTCCCCAGCTTATCTCACAAACTACTGGAGCAATCAGCCTCATATTGTGTGTGCACATTTATGACTGTATGCTCCAGGACCTCTTGTAGTTGCAGTAGTTCATAATTGTTTAAAAAAAAAAACACAACAGGAGCGATTCAGAGCGACCAGGCTTGTATTTTATAAGCTTCTGGGATGCTTGTGAAACAAGTTGCAGTGCGTCTTCTGGAACAGAATTGTTATGAATGGCTGTGATCAGCCCAAGTGGCCAAAAAAAGGACCTTACCCAGGTGTTAATAGACTCACTATCATGAGAACGCCCAGACACAAATAAGTCAACTCACCTTGCAAGGAGTTAAAGATGGCAAAGAGGTACATGAACGGCAGGTTAAGGGGCCCCCAGGCAAAAAAGGCAAAACCCCAAGTGAGGCCCAGGAGGACAGTTATCCCTGCCACACTGCGCGCATCCTGCAGCGTGGTGCGGTGCTGAGCATTGTGAGGGTTCTGCCTCTTTATCCGACACAGCTGGACCAACACCACCACAAACATGGCGAGGTTGAAGAGGAAAATTACGCAGAAATATGCCACTACTGCCACATAGAAAGCAATGTCGTTTTTCAGCCAGCAGCTGTGGGAGAGGACATGGATGGAAGAAAATTAAAAGGTCAGTTTTTCATTTTGTGCAGGTTTTATTTCATGTGTCTAATAGTGTGTAGAATAATGTGCATGTAAGGCATCTGTCAGAAGACTCACAAGTCATCACTAGTGCCATCGGAAAACTTTCCGTAGGAGACAAGACCGTAGTTATCCTTGTCAATCGCAATGACAATAATGACCACGATCATCGGGACGCCCCAGCCGACCACCGAGAACTTCAGCATGTAGCGTGATATGTGGCTATTGAAGACTTTCACGAGGGCCACGTACATGTGGACGGCCTCAAGTCCCATCCAGGTGAAGGTGACCAGCAGGAAGTAATGAAGGAACCAGGCAGTGGAGATGCAGAGGCCCACAGCGTCAGGGTAGAGCGCCAGCCACGCATCCACCAGAAAGACCAGGTTCAGCAGCAGCAGAGCCATGCACAGCTGGATTAGGATTTTGGATGGAATGTCCTTCCGCAACTTCCTGCAATGTTCAAATGATTTAAGCAACATGACGCATCTCAGTGGACTCTTCTCAGTGAACAATGCATCTACTGTAAAATGTGCTGTGATAAAAAGATCTGCCTCTTTCTAGTTTTCCTGAATTTTGCACATTCTTAATATTGCATTGCAAACCAGATCCACTTTTGATCTCCAGAAGTAATAAATGGCAGCCTAAGGGATAAAATAATATAGATCTGTTATCAATTTTTATATATGTTGTGTTTGTTTGGTGGTCAGGATAATCGAGAAAGACGCTTTCACATTTGATAATGTCTCACTATTATACTATGCTACACTGTGCGTAACAGTTGCTCAGGCAGAATGTTGTTCAACATCACAAGATGAACTGCCATGAAACTGTTATTTAAAAAGTTGAAAACACTTTTTATAATGTGTTAGCATTGTCTATATTACTGACAAAGCCAAGATCATCATACCTGTATGTGAACTGCTATCAAATAATCTCTCCCCAAATGCAGATAAGACCAAGGAGATGATAACTAGGAAGGGTAAAGGGCAGCACATGCCACTACACATGGGTGAGACAGAGGAAGAGAGGGTGAGAACCTTTAAATTTCTTGGCACCCACATCAGCGAGGATCTCACCTGGTCTCACAACACATGGCAGATCATCAAGAAATCCTACATCTTAAGAAAGCTGAGGAAATTTGGCATGCCAACCGATACCCTCAGCAACTTTTACAGATGTACAGTCGAGTGTCCTCATCAGTTCAGTCACAGTCTGGTATGAAAACTATGCTGCTCGGGACAGGAACACCCTCCAGCATGTTATAAAAAACTGCACAGCTCATTTAAGGAGCAGTCTTTCCTTTCATTCAGGACATGTAAATACCAAATAACAGCATTAGCCACTGCAGACAACAATGCATGCTACTTAAGTGGTATTTATAAAAAGCTGGATGTGTGTAATCTATCTTATGGCTCTCGACACTCACCCAAAAGACAAGTAGGTGAGGAGGGTGATGGAGAGGAAGATGGCAGAGATTCCACAGCCAATATATGTGATAAAGGTGAGGATGGTGGCCTGAACACGACTGGTGAGAGTCTCTCTGGAGAGGTCCTGTGAGAAAGCGAAGAAACAAGGTAAAGTTACAGCATAGTGGAAAAGTGTTTACCCAACAAAAGGATGCATGAAAATATAGAAATATGATGATCATCTCACCAGCAGTATAGCAAAACTAGTTAAATGATTGCAGCCACATATTGTCTCATTGTCAGTGCTGTTTCGGACAGAACAGCCTCTCGGATTCCAACCACCTGATCCGTCTGCCGAGAGAAAACATGGATGAATCATATTTTTATCTTGATTTATTTTTACTTATTTCTGATTGACACAGTTGGAAAACTTACCATTTAATGTAAAGTCCCAGAAAACACAAGTAGCCACAAAATTAGCCTGTAGTTTGGGAAAAGACACGAGACGAAAGACCACTATTAATCTTGCGGCATGTTTGTGGCCTGTCTGTATTTAATCTGCTAAAACACATGAAAATTTCACCTTTGTCTTATATTTGTTTTCCCCAGAGAGAATTCAAATTTGATGTAGCTGTGCGCTACCTGTGCCAGTTTACCTTTTTCTATAGATTTAACTCTGTCAGTAAATATCCCATGTCCTTAAAAAAACATTTTTTTAAACTGACTCACTGGAACAGGCTCCATGTTCTTCAGGTGAATTACAACATCGTCCTGCAGTTCTTTGATTGACAGGTTGGCCACACTCGCTCCCAGGATCCCACTATTGAGTTTGCGTTTTCCCAAAGATCTGTCCTGCATGACCATTTAGAGTGAACACAGGTTATTAGTTTGTAAAGACAGTGTTGCCATATGTAATTTAAAATATAGTCCATAAGTTTCTGTTAGAGCGCTAATTCAGGGGTGTAAAATTAAAAACACAGATGATTAAAGCAACACATTTCTGTATTGTAGTAAAGCCAAGTGTGTCAGAGTTCTTTTGAATGTGACGTTTGTTAAATGTACAGACCTGGTACACTGTGCTCTCCTGGTAGAAATTGAACTGGACTCTGGAGACCAGCTGCTGTTGCTCAGAGGTCAAACTCTGTGTGAGGGTGGGGGGTAGCCTGATGGAGCCCTGAGGTATGGAGGAGTCTTTTCTCACACTCCTTCTGAGCCTGGGAGCCCCACGAACCTGCAACACACGTGGGACATGAACAGAAATACACAGGCTTAACGACTAGATTTTATCATCATAGAGTTTTAATACCACTTTTTTATTTGGGGCAACTGACACCAATCTGTCAGAGATCATTGTTTGCAGTAGCTGAGCTGTAATAGCTCAACCCATTTCTTCTTGGGTGCCACATGTACAAAAACAAGTGTAATCCAGGGATGTACCCGCAGAAATCATATTAAAAAAGTCGTGTCATTGTGATGAAGGGAAGTAGGCTGACCTAGTTCACCTAACTGAATGTTTCCATGCAACAGAAGCAGAAGCCGCTTTCCACATTTCTGAAATATACTGAATGCAGCTAACGTCAAGATTATGTATTATTGCAGGTATTTTTTTCCATACATAGATTAGTGTTTCAAATTAAATTAACTGAATTTATTGTTTACAAGGAATTCCATGTTCAGGTTATGTTGGAGAACTATTTCTAATCATTGCACGTGCAGCAGGACATATATAGACACTTTTCCACAGCAGGCAAAATGCACATGGAACAAATACCAATAACAAGGCCTTGCCAGCAAAATACCAAGGTGCTGGAGCTGGAACACATCAATGGAAAGCAGCCATAAATGATTCCTGTCATTAATTACTCCTGTGTGTTTCATGCTGTGACACGTCAACGTTTCTATTGTGAAAAATGTCTGTTTGCTGTCAACGAGCCCGTTAATGCCTCTGGGATTACTCATCCTCTTGCAAACAATGCTTTAACAAATATCAGATAGTTGTAAGTGGGTCCAGATTGTTTTACTCCTTACTGCCTGTTTCAAAATGTGGCTGCAGGAGCTTAAGTTTCAGTTGTGGAAGAAGTTCTCAGATCCGTTAACTAAGTAAATGTTTTGCAACAATCTAAAAACAAAAATCAACAAAAAGTTTTGCACTTAAAATCCTAGTCTACTTAAGTAAAACCACAGAAGTATTATCAGCAAATTGTGCTTTAGGTGCATCAACATGTGGGCAGCATTTACAAGTTGAGGAGGAGCTGCTTTATCTACTTTACAAACAGTTAAGTCCAGTGTTTCCCAACCTAGGGGTCAGGTCCCCTTCAAAAGGTCACAGAGGAAAGAAGATGGGTTTTTTTTTTGCTGCACAAGTAGTCATACTTTGGTATTTTCCATCATAAAAATTTAGATGGGAAATGCCCTTGTGTTGGAGCTGAAAACAAGGGCCTCAAACAGGACGCTGCATTTTTGTAATTGGTCACAAGACAAAAACCGCAGATTTAATCTAAACTAACACTGTATTGTATTTCCCTCTGAAATGTAGTGGATTAAGTAGCATAAAATGGAAATGCTTAAGTCATGTACAGGTTTTCTAAAATTGCACACAGTACTTGGCTAGAAATACTTAGTTTCTGTCCACCACTGTTGCAAATCTCTAAACTCTGAAACACGGACATCTGCTTTAGAATAACCAGCATCTCATAGGATCGCACTCATCTAAACAGCATCACAAATGTTTTGATGTATTACCTATACAACACTTCATGCAGATGAAATAAAGTGGACTGCTCATGTCGTACCTGGACATCATTGGGGTCTGAGATGGAGAAGAATGTTTCCTGAAAGTTGCTGCCATCTGCTGGTTTCACAGACAAAGCCACAGCCGGGGACAAGAGGGTCTGAGCCTTTCCATCAAGGACCAGCTTCAACCCCACTGTATCAACAATCCCTATGATCCTGGTGAAAAACAAAGAAAGAAAAATAAATGAACTGGTATTGTGCAAAATATGAGTGATTATGATATTAGAAATAATTCAGTTACTCTAGTGGTTCCCAATCTCTGGGCTGTGGCCCTGAACTAGGCCTCAGAATGGCTCTTTTGATAGTTACCGTTGCTGACCACTGCTCTAAGGAGTCCATTTTTTCCAGTAAGTATATTTGGTTTTAATGGTTTAAGCCTGTTTTTTTTTGCTGATGAAAATTAGCATCAGCATTAACATTATCACAGTCAACCATAGACTGTAAATGCACCATGCTAACAAAGTAGCAGCTAGCATCAGGGTTAGCTCCACCCTCTTGTCCAAATATAACTTCTGCCTCCAAAAATCCAAGATGGCGACAGTCTAAATGGTAAACTCAAGGCCTCCAAATGGGAGTCCACTGAGCAATAGACTAGATGACTTCATGGTGACTTTGTCCATTACTTTTATACAATCTCTAGTGGTCTAACTTTACATTTCAGTATGTTTAGTAATCAGGTGTGGAGGACAATTACCGCTTGCAACAGGTGCAAAATATAATGTCAGGAACCTCTGAGTCTGAGTATTGAATTTCTTTTTTTACTGTACATAATAGAGAATTATAGATAAATTAATCTGTAACCTGTTGGAGGAGTCGGACAGCACCTCAGGAGAAGCACCCAATAGATTACTGACGATATGGACAGAAGTGTTTCCCAGTGCCAGGCTGACAGTCGGGCCTGACAACAGATTCTCCAGCTGGGACACAAGCTGATCCACCTGGCTGGAGTTCAGACTGGACACGTCTCTGGTCAGGTCAAGCAGCGCGTTGGCTTGGCTGTCAGCTGTGGTCAACACAATTTAAAGAGGACACTATAAATGATGCAATAATGATGTAAGGACTGAAACAGAGCTATACACAGTGCTGCTGAGGTGATAACAAACCTGTCGCTGTGATATTAGCAGGAGAGCTGGTGGTGGTGGCATTCAGGGCTTGAGCTGTCGTGTTCAGTGGGGATGAAGTTACATTCGCAGACAGGGTGGTGGTGTTTGGTTGTGCAGTCACAGTTGTGTTCAGCGGAGAAGTTACATTGACAGACGAGGTGGTGGTGTTGGGTTCTGCCGTTGTCACATTTGGGCTGAGTGTGGTTGTCACATTTGGGCTGAGTGTGGTTGTCACGTTTGGGCTAGGTGTGGTAAAAACCCTCTGATTGCACTGCTCATCCATCTGCACAAGCACATTTACTCCATTTGGACTACAAATAAAAAAGAGAAATTAAGATCTTGTGTAAAAGTGTTTAGAAATGTTCATCATCAGGTGTTACATGTTGATCAGCTACGATACAAACAGCTCTTAAATATTGCAATAGATGGGATCATAAGAAGATCATACAAACCAAGTGAGGTTGAGGTTGGACTCTTCTATTGTACAAAAGGAGGCACGCTTTAGGTAAACTATGTCCCACTTGAACTCCGATTTTAGTGGGTTGCTGTTGACTTCTGAATTTCCACAAATTGCTGGGTGACATAAAAGAAAAAACACAAATAAGGAGTGTTACAGGATTCCCCTCAGTTATTCTTGACTGTATGAACTGAACTGACTTGCTTCCTTGTATCAAATATACACACCTGCTCGGGTCACCTGTCCATTGAAACTAATTTCTTTCACAGACTGAAACACATTGATCACGGCTGTCGACACATTACAGATAGGAACCTCATGGGCAAAGACTAAAATCACACGGCAGCTTTGAAGACTAGAATTTTGGAAAAAAAAAAAAAATCAGAGGTGCACAGGTGTCAGTCACAAATGTATCAGCGAATTAAATATGTTCCTTCAAAGCTACTATATGATTATACTCACTCTGCCTCATTGAGTCCACATGTGACATTGGCATCCTGAGAAGAAAATTTTCATTTTAGTCAAACTATCTCAAGTGATTATGTTGAAGTAACATATTAAAATAATTTAAATATATGTATATATATATATATATATAAATAAATATAAAATATAATTAAAAAATAAAAAATAAAATTTTATGTATTTCTGATACAAAATATTCTTCTGTGCATTAAAAGATAAAAAAAAGTCCCCCAAAATGCTGTCTGGGCTTGAAAAGTGTCAGTTAGTGCCAGGTGCCAGTTACACAAAACACCTTTGGTTAAGATTTTTCCTTAAAGTCCTAGTCAAGGTTTCCTCTGAAAATCTGGTTGCACAAAACCCCCTTAAGTCTTCTCCTTAAGGTTTCCTTCAAACACTCACTTAAGTACTTACGTTTTTCTCCTTGTCTTGGTCTCATACTGAAGGAATCCTGAGACTGTTGCACAAAAGACCTTAGCAACCAAAGCAAGGTAAAAAAAAAAAAAACAACTTAAGGTACCTCTGACTCTATCCTAACTGCAACATGACCATTTTCTGCTCTTAAATTGATACTATTCTTGCTGTTTTTTGTTGCAATCAAACATATTTTGCTATTAGTAGTTTGTTATCACCTGTATCATTTTATGTATTGTTCTTTATCTTTCTGTACCTTTGAGTTCTTAATAACTTTGTAAAAGGCCCGTGTGGAGGCTTTAAATAAGCCCCCTGGGATTTTTGGCCTCTCACTGCACTGTATTTCATTATTCAGTTTCATTATTCAGTGTTTTAATTGTACAAAAAAACAAAACAAAACAACTATAATTATAACTACAATTATGTTTACACTATAGATTTGACTGAATTAATTTTTGTTGCAGTTTCTTCCTACAATCTGGTATTTGGGGATCAAATTTACTTTGTACAATGTGCTTTCTATGATTGTATTCATCCAGAAGTATAATCTTTTCCTCCTCTGACCAATATGGTTTTCTTGTCTTCTTTTCTTCTGCCATTTTTCCAATATCTAACTATAAGCCAACTTTGTGAGATGATAACAGGCATCAAAAGCGTGAGTCCAAGCGAACAAACAATCTCCATGGAAACTTTTACCGCTGTAAAACCTCTTTCAACACTGTAAATGAGTTAATGTTTTTCCTTAACTAAGGAAACCTTTAAAGGGATTCTGTGCAACTGTGTAAGTCCCTCAGCTAAGGAGAAATTAAGTCTCAAGTGTCATACTTGAGGGAGAAAACTTAAGATGTTCTGTGTAACTGGTCCCAAATGTTGTATTTCATGTACAAACTGTGTCACAAAAGGAGAAACTGTGCACAAAAGCCATAAAATTGTACTTGATGCATTTTTGTGATAAGACAGTTTCAGTTTCCTCAATGAAATGCATGACTCAGAAACAAAATATTTCAATTGGATCGCTCTTGTAAATCAGTTACAAATACAAACAAGGTACATTGTGGCAAAAATAGGTTGATATCATTTGGATCAGCATTAGTCCAGCAAATAGTCAAAATAATCTTAGCAGGAAATTCAGGCAATATGATCACGCTATGGTTGCTGATTACCGTGTATTCAGATGCAAGGATTGATGATGGACATGGAACTCTGCAAAGTAACATTATAAAGATTGTTATTTATTTTTATTTGGATTTATTCATGTATAATTTTATTTTTATATGTTTGAAGAATGGCAAAACTCACTCTGCACTTGGAGAGCAGTTTGGTTGCTGTTTAAGCTTAGAAATCTGTAAAGATTCAAGAGGTTAGAGTCTGATGCATCAACAGATAAGTGATGTAAAATTGACAGTTAAAGACAAATACTACAATATAAACTTACACATGCACACATAGAATATGTAAACTCACCAGGGACAAGACATACGTAAGGTTCATCTTGCTGGTATCTTTTATAAAAATCTCAAAAGTGTAGTATGCATCTGAAAACAAAGAATCAATATGAGTTTATATCTCTTTAGATAATAATCTGGTTGTCTTGTTAGGTGATAAAATACTCACCAGTTCCACTGCAGTAAGCAGAGCAGTTGCAGACGTTATTCCCCTTTTCTGAAACAGTCAAAGCATGTTAGTTACTGTATTCAAATCTCAGTGTGAACACAGCAACAGCAAATTTTAACTTCTTTTTGCAGTATTCAACCCGTCTTATTTTTCACATAATGTTTTATTTTTTCATATTTTCATATTTACCGTACAGATATCAAAGTGATATCAATCTTCTTATCAAACTCTTGGCAAGAAAGCTACAAATGTTGAATTATTTCTTTAAAACTTCAAAATAGCTCTGCGGCCTCACAACTGCTTAACAAGACAATGTCCGAGTTCAAGTGACAATTACTTGGACTTCATGTTATGTGGACATAATGATGTCTTAATGTCTGTTGTGGGTGTCAGTGACAAGGGGTTGAGTACTTCCTTTACTTTCTGTTATCTGAAGATGTTTAAGGGAAATGTTCAGGGCTCACCTGCATCACAGTGAGTTGTGTTGCGTTGAGGAATCACATATGCTGACTCAGACTCTTGGCTATTTAAAGATAGTTGAAAAATTAGTGTGCAGCACCCCAAAAAAACTCATAAAATGTTTCAAAAATTTAAAACAATGACTCGATCGTACTATATATTTACCCTAAAGATCAAATTACAAATACTGCATTTCAAAAAAAAAGAAAAAAGTGCCATGTTCTTGTTAATTTCATAAATAAGCTGGGGGGTTGAAAAGAGGAAACTCAAACAAACATCTTACCATGCTGCACCGGCTTGTCCAGTATAAACACAACTTTTTTCCTCTTGTATATTGCTATTGCACTCATTTTCTAGTCCACCTGTTCAATGATACAGAGAGTTGAATGCATTATGGGAACTCATTAGGTAGGTAAGTTATGGATTTAAGATAATGCAACACTCACGGACTCTATCTGCTGATTTTCCCACCACATGGATGTCAGAGGAATTTTTACTGGCTGCACAAAGCGTACGGAGGATGCAGCACGGGGGGATGCTATGCCTCAGCTGCAGCGTCACTGAGCAGTTGGTTTTTCTGAGGTATAAGGTTGTTGTTAAAAACAGGCAGATTCTGTACACTTGTTTTAGCCATTTGAACATTTTTGTTATTCCACTTACCTTATTGCAGTCTTTGTGGCGCATGAAACTTCTATTCCCAGGACTGCAGGACTGAGAGATTCAGGAGATACTGGATACCTGAAATTCCCCAAGGAGATGAATAAAGTATCTATCTATCTATCTATCTATCTATCTATCTGGAGATTCACCCTTTCATTCAGTCATTCATTTATTTACAAGAAATCGTTGCAGTGATACCTTGTTTGTGTCACACTGTTCCTGATTTCACGAGCTACACGCTCCTTGTTTGCCTGAGAGGGAGGTGGTCTCTTTGTTGGCCTGTTCTGGTCTTCACTGAGAGCAGTCTGAGTGATCACTCCGGTGACAGGTAAAGTAGTTGTCTTGATGGTTTCTGAGGCTGTTGTTGTTGCAGTTGCAGTTTTGGTGCTGGTTTTTAACGCTGTTGTGGCAAAAGTAGTCATGGTGGTGCTTTTTACTGCTGTTGTTGTTGCAGCTGTAGCCACTGTGGTGGTTTCTGACGCTGTTGTTGCAGCTGTAGCCACTGTGGTGGTTTTTGATGCTGTTGTTGCAGGTGTAGCCATGGTGGTGGTTTCTGACGCTGTTGTTGCAGCTGTAGCCATTGTGGTGGTTTTTGACGCTGTTGTTGCAGGTGTAGTTATGATGGTGCTTTGTAATGCTGTTGTTGAAGCTATAGTCATGGTGGGAGTTTTAAACGCTGTTGTTGCAGTTGTGTTGGAGCCTTTTACTGCTGTTGTTGCAGGTGTAGTTGTGCTGGAGCCTTTTACTGCTGTTGTTGCAGGTGAAGTTGTGTTGGAGCTTTCTGATGCTGTTGTTGCTGTTGTAGTTGTGTTGGAGCTCCTGAATGTCGTTGCTGCCGGTGTTGTGCTGTAGCTCTGTAACATCGTGTTTGCTGCAGCTGTAGTTGTATTAGAGCTCTGCAGTGTTGCTGTCGCTGGCGTCATGAGTGTCGTCACATTTGAAGTGCTTGCAGATGTAGTGTGTGGAGAGGCAGGTGGGGCTGTTGTTTGTTTGTTGATCTGAGATACGCAACTCTGCAGGTTGTTTCGGAACACGTCCTCAAGCTGAGAAAAGGAAAACACAATATTTAATATATTTAATCACAGGATTTATATTACTATTAACAATTAGTCAACAACCAGCTTCCCAGCATACCCAAGCAGTGATGTTTGATTCATCCTTCTGTCCATTGACGTCCACGGTGACAGCAACATGGTAAAATACTGTCATAAGAAGGAAAGACAGAATGTTGCTGAGGAGACTGATTTAGAAACAGTCAAAATGAATGCAGCGTATCAAAATCCTAGAACCACAGAGGAAGTATACAGGTGTTTTCACAGCCTCTTTTACTCTCCATAACTGGTAAACTGATTTTAAAGGAGAATTACATATTTTTTTCCAGCCTTAAATTAGTGTCAGCTGAACTTCACAATGCAGTTTTTACACAGACTAGGACGCATCTCTTACATTAAAAATGCCCATATGTCAGGACAGGTACACATGTGCATGTCAGTACTGTTTTAAGGAGTTCCAGTTGAATGTTTAAAGTTACTCTGATTCTAGCTGTGCAAAATAAGTAGCTTATATTCAGTCACATATCTTACTTAAGTACAATTTGAATTAGATTTTATTCTCAATATTTCCATTTTGGGCTTCTTTACACTTAAGTAAGTTACTTTGGGATAAAATCTTACATCAGAAACAATATGATGCATCATTATACAGTGGATTTAACCAGTGGCTCTTAACCTTTTTCATGTCTAAAACCTTTAACATTAGTTCATATACATCAAGTCACGGACCCCTATGATAAGATTTTGCAGGGACCTCCATTTGAAAAGATTTTGGTTGATAGATATGATTAAAACCATGATTCTATCATTGTTACGTACAGTTGAGGAGATAACTGTGGAGGAAGTGAAACCTAAGATGAGAGTATTCACTCTTACTCATATTGTGAAAATAAACTTTTGCTTATTTTTCTAGGCTGTAACTTCCTTAAGGGAATATTAGTGTACTCCTGACATGGCAGTGAGTGGGACGATTCTGTATGCTTTGCAAGTTTACCTGAAGTCTGTGCATTTGTTGTAGGACTGGAAAGAGGGGAAGCAGTGGTCTCATTACAGGAAGCCTGACCTGTTGGGGGAGGAAGAAACCATAATTAGTTTTTGTCAGCACAGAACGAATGACAAAAAAAAAATTCAAACTTCAACTTAAGTTTTGTTGTGACCCACAGCCATAATACTGTATGGTGGACACTAGACATCAGTGTAAAGAATTCCTTTATCTTGTGTTTCATTCTCACATGGGCTGACTGATTTGTTGGAGATTTTAAAGACTCATGATGTATGTTAATAATAGCTAAAGAAATAGGGAAAATAAATACACAGAACGGCTGAAGGCTCTGACAATTGATGACAATTAATTTTCGGTCAATCAACTAATTCATTAACTGACTAATTGTTGCAGCTCTATTCTAGTTTTAATTTTTTTAAAGTTTTTTATAAGCTCAGGGATAAATGGCGCTTGCCCAATGTTTCTGAATTGTGCTCAACTTCCTTCACAAGAAGTTGTAGCATCGTAAAATGTGATAAGGAAATGGGCAGCAGACTAGAATAACAGGTTAAGATACAAATTCGGAGAGAAAATTCTACTTATTCACACACGCGCGTGTGTGTGACTTGATGAATGCTGAATGACTGGCATGTCAGACTTGTCAGACATTGCGACTTATAAATAGAGGTGCAGAGTTGTCAGTCCAGATAAGGCTACCAGACGACAGACACTGCCACTCCATTGTCTTCAAACAATTCTAACCTGTCACAGCTGATGTCATACCGTACCTGCCAACAGGACGACCAGGAGGAGAAGTATGCACAGCCAGTGTAGATCTTTGACATGTGAGCCTGGCCTCTTCACTCTGTCACATAACAAACACAGTCATTTAAACACTTTTTCAAAGGTATAAATGCTTTAAGCTTCTTTGTGGTGACTTTTGGCCCTTTTGGTACTTATTGTTACCCAGCACTTGAAAGGGATAAAAGAGTGAGTCATACAAAAAACTTCTCAGGCTAATAACAAGCACCTCTTCCCACGAGACCCATGTCAATGAATGCTTAAGGCCTTTCCTGTGATTATAGCTAAAAGGTTTTCTCTTTGGTTCTCATCATTAAGTCAGTTAACCATATCGTACAACGTCCTGAAGAACTGAATAACGAATGAAAGTCTTGAACACATTCCTGCTCAGACACACCTTTGAGTGTAATCACAGTTCATTACAATAGAACAAACACATTACCTTTATCACAGCTAAAGGAAAGTGCAAACAGCATAGAGAGTGGTACATTTTGCACTGTATAGACAATAAATGTTGGCTTCCATTAACAAATGGTAAATGTTTACTCAGGCCAGAGCTTTTTAGAGATGTTTACATCTGTTATGAAGCTGTGCCGTTCCCATGTACTGTATAAGAAGTTCGGTGGTGGGAGCAGAAGAGGAAGTCCCAAAATATGAAAGAATATTATGAGCTGTATTGACAAATAACAGCAGTTTTACTAAGGTACAGGTATTGCTAGATTACACGAATGACTTTAAACATACTTGATTGAGTATCAGAAGACAGTGAGTGAAGTCAGCTCCTGACATGTAAGAACAAGATGTGTAAGAGCAGCCACAAAGCTGATTGTGATTGAGAGGAACGATGTTGCCTTGTGTAACAAATCCAGATGTGTTGTTTTTCTGGCAAAGGAAAACTCCACTGTGCCATCCTGCTGGGAAAGTTTTCTCCAGCCCCTTGATATAATCTAAGTATCACTTTATCATCACAGTGTTGCTGATGAATATCAGGAACATCCTTTCTTAGAAATATTATCAGTAACTTCACTTAAAACTTGACCTTAAGATCAAACCGTATATTCACAAACAAAGCCAAACAAATTCACAAAAATAACAGCAAGATATTTTAAAAGTTAAATAAGGAAGTAAAGAAAGGGAATTAAATACAAGTTATCTGTAAATATTGGCAAATAATAGATTCAACCCAGATCCAGCTGTGATTTCTGAGCTGTGGTTTGTAATTAAGGAAAATTAGACACACCACCAAAACCACCACTTTACCTGACATAGGGGGCAAACATGTGCCAACATGAGGATCCATCAAAACAAATGCCGGGAGCTTTCATGATTTTGTCTTCATTTTCTCGGAACATAACTTCCCGTGGGCAAATTCCAACCTTAAACTAAAAGCCAAACCACAAACATTAAATGTGCATTTTCTTCTCTTTACCGATACAAACTTGTTTCTATAGCTGTTGGCTGGCTGGCTGGTGCTGCTGTGTGAATTCACTGTGACTTTCTCGTGCAGGATCAATAGGTGACACATGTGGCACGCCCCTGAAACGTCAACCTGAGCAGGTGAATGTCACATACAATGTCTTTATCCTGAGCATGTCGCTCAACAATCTCCTGAACAGGAAGTAATTTGATTTTACATCACATCACATCAGAAAAGGCCCTATATCATCCAAAATGATTGCTGTGCACCACTGATGTCCCTGTAGGTTTTTTGGAGGGAAGAGATTTATCTTTTTTCTGTGTCTATTTGGCAGTAAAGGTACGCCTCAGGGTGTGTCTTCACCCTGTGAGCGTTCAGACAGGAACAAGTGTTTCCAGAGTGACACTACAGAGCTAAAAGCGTACTGGCATTGAGACATGTACTGTTGCGTCACAAGGAGTCAGGCACCAGCATTATTTGTCTGGCATGTTATGCACCTGCTTTTCAGGGCTCTGAATGGGAGGGGCTTGTCTGTCACTGCACCATTAACACACATACACACGCACACACACACACACACACACACACACACACACATTTATTTTTTCCACTGTTATGGCTCTTTTAATAACATTTTCTAGACAAGCACTGTATTTAATACAGTTACACCCTGGGTGTGTGTGTGTGGGTGATCAGTGAGATCATTTTGCAACGTCATAACTTAAGGAAACTTAGAACGTCATACACAATGTTACAATAACAGATATAAAAAGCAACAGGTCAAACCTGTTTTAGACTGAATACAAAATGGATTTGTGTCACAAAAAACACAAAGAGGTCAGAAGTCAGCCTGTCAGTCGGAGGATTTATTAACTTAACAAAATTATAAATGAGGAAAAAGATAAACTATGCTGGCTATGAGCATGTAAACAAATGACTCCTCAATTTGATCCTTCATATCTTGGTAACCAAGAGTTATTAACATCAAAACAGTAATTAATTTATCCCCTTATAAGCACACCATGTTTGTAAGTAGTACTAAACAGATTTGATGCTGTACCAACTTGAGATTTCTGGAAATAAGATAAACTTACAGACAGAAGAATAATAGGTGTAGTTCTCTATGGGTGCACCAGGGAGCGCATAAGATAAGATAACCACAACCCAGGTATTCATTTCTGTTGGAGTGTTGGGGGGAAGTCAGTGATGGCAGAGCAGATCCAAATAGTCTCTTTCTGTAAATGCCCCTGTATTTGCATTGAAATAAAATGTAAAAGGGTTAAATGGCTTTTTCTGTTTGAAGCCTGCTGCTGATTATTGCACACTATGTTTTGGTCACATGCAGCATTTACAACACCAGAAGAAAAGAAAGTTTTAATATTATGATCCTATTTCTTTTAGCACAGGTGATCTAGACTCTATACATACTCTCCTCCAATCACAAGCACACATTTGCCCGCTGAAATTTGCATAAATGTAGCCAGCCAATCAAGACATGTCTTCCCAAGTATATGTGGAACCCACATATGGAGACATACGATGATGCCTCTTCAGCCAGCAGAATAGAAGCTACAGGACCCCTAGGTAAGGGTTTGGCAACTTTTACTATCAAAAGAGCCCTTTTTTACTAAAAATAATAACTAAAAAAAAAAAACTCTGTCTGGAGCCAAAGAACATATTTGAACCCTATAATGAAGGAAACACATCCTACTAAGACTAAATTAGCCAATCAAAACTAGTAATAGGTCCAAATAAGCATTTGTTAACATGTTTTACCACAAGCTTGTTACTCTGCAGTGGGCTATTTATGATTATTTGGAACTTAAACTCTGTAAAGCTGGCGGTGAAAGTAAATGAAGCTGTCCACACACGATTAAATTCTCTCTTCTCCTCTGGGACTTTTACTTTTTTTTGTTTGGAACCTATTGGTAACCCACCTAGGGAGATTTGAAAATAGCCACCACTCTTGTGGTTTGGCAAAATTTAGAGGAAAAGGCGCCAGACCTTAAATGGCTGAAGTACATTTTGGTTGAGGAAATCTTTTTTATTATTATTATTATTAATTTGGTGCATAGGTGCAGAATTTCTTCAGGCCCACAACAATGATGAAATTAAAATTAGAGTGTTAAAAAAAAAAATAACCGTCATTGATTCCCAAATAATTTCTTTGTCAAAGCCACTGGAGAAGGGCTAAAGTGCCGCATATGGTTTCAGAACTCCAGGTTGCCTACCCCTGCCCTAGGGAGATGTCTCCATCTGTGCTAACAGATGTAGGTTGCCTCCTTATATACTGTGGGCACCACACAATCCAGGTAGGTATGTACTGATTGGCCGACTCCTTTATGGGAATTTCAGTGGGTGAATCCATAGGGTCCGGTAGAGGGCTGACCCTGTGTGAGACAGAATAGTCACACTCTACATCATCCGTTGTATGGATCTAAAATGGTCGTTGTTGGTGTGATTTGTATGACAGACTTATGTAAATGTAGACCAGTGGTTCTCACCTTTCTGAGTTGCAACACCCCAGAATAATCAGGTTCGTGTTTGAAGAGCTTCCAGCCAGGGGCGTAAATATAGACAGTGCAGGCCGTGTGGTTGGACTGGGTCCCGTCCTCTTAAAAATGGTGCGATTTTCTATATATGCCCTCAAAAAAGCAAACCTATCTCCATTATGGTTTTCTGTTTTTGTAAAATAGTATCAATCTATAACAAAATGATATGCTTATTCTACATTTAACTATAAAAAACTATTTAGTTAAACCAATTATTTCCTATTTTCTTCTGAAGTTTTGTCATGTACAGATATGTAATGATGACTGCTGGGTAACATGTATGTTGATGTTGTCCAATGTCAAGTCTCTGTTCAATCATGAAACGAGACGATTTACAGTAGCCACTTTCGGGGCACATCTGCAAGCGGATATAACATAAAAGTGGCAGTAAGACACTGTTGGTAAGATATATATGTATATGCCCAAAACTCTGTGTGTGTGTGTGTGTGTGTATATGTGTGTGTGTCTGTGCTTCATAACTAGTAACTGGGGCATACTAGGGCCAGTCATAATAGCGTGCCCTAGGGCCCATCGTAACTACCTTACGCCACTGCTTCCAGCACCATGCTGACCCTATGTGCCTCCATCGCTGTCCTCATGGCATGGATCTCTCTGCAACATTCCTGAAGCGAACAGTGTGGACACGACATCAGCCCAGTCTAACTGTTTGGACCACACTTTTTACGAGCTGGTGAACGACATGAAAGCAACTGCTGTCTCTCAAACACACTCAATAAAATCTTTCCTGAGGTGAACTACAATATATCACTGGTACAGGCAATGTCATGTAAAAACCATTTCCCAGTCTAACAATATTTTATTTTATTTTGAATATGACATTTTATGTTTTTCTCCACAACCAGCCTGCAACCCCTGGAAATAATCCCGCGACCCCCTTTGGTGTTGGAGTCCCTGATATGGAGTATTTTGGTATCAAATACACAGAGCGATAGAGAAGGAAGAGATTCCCATTAGAGCTTTGGCTCCACCCAGTGGAGGCTGTTTGTAACTTCTAACAGTAGGTCATTTTCTGCCTTTGTGCAGTTTGGGAGACATTCACATATGAGCAGGGGCGCTGCCAGGAAGTTTGGGCCCCATGAAAAAAAAATTACATTGGGCCCCCCCCCCGCGCAGCTGTTGTCACCACATATCTAGGACCTAACTGACCCATTAAAAGCTTTACATAACTCTAGCTTTGAAGGCTTACAACTGTCTTGCTTCTTGTAGTTCACCATTAGTGCAATTCACTATTTGATGCAAGATTAAAAGCTGCCATAAATGTGCTAAAGGCCATCTTTTACAGTCTAAATGTCATTTTTATTGTAAAATCCCAAAATGGAAAATTCTCTTAACATTAATGAGACTTAAAAAATAACTTAAATATACATTAACTTTTCAATCAAAATAAATTAAGGTCATCATCTCAAAATAATGAAAAGAGCAGATTTTTTTTAACTTAGCTGCACATACATGCCAACAAGAAAATAAAGTTGAAATGGAAAATGGAATTAAAAGGCCTCATGGAGGTGCTACAACACAGATCAAGTGATCAGTAAATCAACAGGTTTTGAGATCTGAAATATGGTCATAACAAACTAACAGTAACATCAAATGAAAAGGTAGGTTAACATGGTATGAATAAGAACAACTAATTAATGTTTCCAACTGTCCAGCATCCAGTACAGACAGTTGTAGGCTGTTCTTGTTTCATAATAATAACTATGTGGAGAAATAATTTGTTTGAATTTCTGTCATTAAATTATTATTATTTTTTTTTTTTTGTAATGGTAAAAAAGAGCAAGAGAGAGAGAAATTCCCACAAACTCCCTGCAATGATGCAAACTGGCATGTCATTCAACAACATTAAACATTAAAGGTTTTTTTGGGGGGAGTTTTTCCTTATCCGCTGTGAGGGTCCCAAGGACAGAGGGATGTCGTATGCTGTAAAGCCCTGTGAGGCAAATTGTGATTCGTGATATTGGGCTTTATAAATAAAATTGATTGATTGATTGATTGATTGAATGTTGCTCACCTTCTTCACTGGAACGGGGAGGGGTCAAGTTATAGGGAGACAGGGATGCTGCTTCTGACTCATCTGTTGTTGAGTCTGGTAAAAGAGGCAGGGACAACTGATTTAATATGAATATCTTGCTAAACATTTACCTGCACTGATTAAATGTAGGTTAAAAGGAGTGAAATGTAGGTCTGAAGCTAGCTTATTTCACTAGGGACATTAAGCTAACAGGTTCATTTCTACCACTCACAGACGAAAGGACCCACTTTTCTTGGAGAAAAACTGGGTCACATAATGACACCCTTTCTTTTGCCTCTCCTCTCTCTCCTTTCTTAATTTCCCTTTTTCTTTCAATACTAGGTAGCATGATGATGACTGTAGCTTTCTAGCGCAACTGCTAACTGCTACAAGGCAGGTCACCTTCAGAGCACTCAGGCAGGACCAAACCATTTCATGCAGATACAGGGGGGTTGTCAGTCAATATGTATGTT